AAGTCTACACAAGTAAATCTAATCAATTTGGTTAGAAGGGATTTATTTTAATATTTTAGAGGATTTCTTAGATACAGTATGATTTTTAGTTAGTAGTAGTAATTGGGAATGCATATTTTTATGACTGTTTGAAGTCACCTTCTAAATAATTTCTAGAGTAAAATTTTTATATTGAAGAAGTTGGTCTTAACATTTTTTTTTTCAGGAGCATACATTTTGAAATCATTTCTGTGGGAAGATTAAAACAAATTTATTTCTCTGCCTCCCCTTTTTAGAGATGTTGACACTTTCCCCAAGATTTGCCCTGCATGATTTGTCTGCCACTGTTTAGCTTGTTAAACTTAAATCCCAGATCTCCTTCCCATTTCAGTTTCTCTAGAATTTCCGGCTGTTTCCAATGGGTCAGATTTGTGAGTGAACCATAAGAATGATTTAGTGTAGAAATAAACCATGAATTAGGAGCTTGAACACTGCCTAGGTTCTGTTTCTGATTTGGTTATGACTCAGCTGTGTGGCCTTGGGAAACCACTTTACAGGTATCCCTGTCCTTGCAGAAGTAAGAGACTACGATGGTTGTGGTAATTATGAGGATCAGATAAAATACATTAAAACATTGTGTAAATTGAATTAGGTTATTTATTTACATGTATATCTGTGGACCTGGAGATCAGGTGCTATGTTTAAGCCTTATCTTTGTTTTTAATCCTATGTCTCTAATTGTGTTTGTAAAGGAGTGAGTCATGTTAGTGGTTGCTAGAAGTTTGAGTAAAACAAACAAGCAAAAAAAATGTAAATTAATACTATTTCTCTTTTTTAAAAACTTTTTTACCTTTTAAAAATTATAGATAAATACAGAGATGAGGTCTTACCATGTTGCCCAGGCTAGTTTCAAACTCATAAGCTAGTTTCAAACTCGTAAGTGATCCTCCCTCCTCAGCTTCCCAAAGTGCTAGGATTCCAGGCGTGTGCCACCATGCCTGGCCAGTAGTACTATTTCTTTGGGAAGTTATTCAGTAGTAGTCAACAAAGTTGAGCGTACTGCAACCTAGCAGTATTGGTGCTAGGTATATACCCAAGAGAAATGCAAACATAACAAAACTCAGGTCCAGGAATATTCACAGAAGCACAATTCATGATAGCAAAAAACCAGAAAACAACCTAAATGTCTCTAAGCAATAGAATAAGAGTAATACAGTGTGGTTTGTTTATACAGTGAGATCCTGTACAGCAGTGCAAAAGACCAAAATATTCTCTGTAACAATGAGAATGAATCTCCCATGCTCAATTCGGCAGCACATAAGGTAAAATTGGACTGATACAGAGAAGATTAGCATGGCCCCTGCACAAGGAGAATGAATCTCCCATTATGTTCAGCAAAAGAAGCCAGATATAAATGAATATTCTATTTTATAAAAAAGTTTAAAAGCAGGCAAAGCTAATATTTGGGGCTAGAAATTAGGATAGTGCTTATCTTGGGAAGGGCTAATTGGGAGGATTCATGACAATTTTTGAGAGCTTATAATCTTTTTTAAAAAATCTAAGATGTTAGTTATATGTATTTGCTTTATGAAAACTCTGTCAGTTGTACACTTGTGATTAGTGTACTTTTAAAAAATGCTTTCTTAAAGAGGTTGGGAGATAAGTGAAATCCGTTTAAAAGTTGGTGTCTTTTCACCCTTCTCTTATGAAAATGAACATGGTCCCTGGAGGCAGAACTTAACATGACTTGATGAAAAATGTGGCTGTACTAACAAAAGAGAAACAAATTTAAAACAATCTTGTGATTCTCAAACTGCTGGAAAACCTGTAGCTTGTAAAGTTTGAATGGCCATTTCTGCATTTCTTGTTCCAAAAAGGATTTGAGACAGAAAATTTGAAGGTAAAGAGGAACACAACACCAAAGAAATAATGATGAGATTTGGAATCATTAGACCTGGTTTTAAATTCTGGCTCCAATTATTTTTTGTTTGTTTTATTATTATTTTTTTAATTTTGTTATTTTTTTGTCTCCAATTCTTATCTACACAGTGAAGACTCAGTTCCTCATTTGTGAAAGAGGGGGTGGAGGTGTTGTGGTTAGTGAAATAACCTGAATTGACATAAATACTGGTTCCAAACCATTCTACCTGAATATTGGTTCAAACAATTTTTAACAATACTTTTTCAGAAATTTCTATAAAAGGACTTAAATTTTGTTGCTGATTATTTACACAAAGTAACTCAAAAAATTTGAGTTTACTGAGTCAGATCTAGTTTTTTTACTTGTAGCACCAATGAAATTTACTTCTGTACCAGTAACAATTACATACAAGGGTCAAAAATATAGCTCCCTGAAATTCAATGGAAAGGATTTTCTAATATGATGACATTTTAAAACAGCCTATTTAGGGCAACAGTTGGAAATATG